AGCCCTATACGTGTATAACCACTAAAGGGAGAATTGAAAATTGTTTCAATTCACAATCGATGTAAAATTGTTTTAATCGCCCACTGCCTCGCTAAAAGGAACCTAATGGATCGCACACCGTAAAAGGTAGAGATTGGAGATTAAACGGAAATGAGTAAGAATGATTAAATGGTTTAATCATTTAATTTATGGCAAGGATTAATTAATATGTTAATTAATCAAACGAATAAGTTCGTTAAAGACCTCGGGATAGTTTTGGACCTTAAGGCCCAATGGGCTTCGAACGTCAAGCCCATTGACTTAAGTTGTATGACAACTTAATGAATAAAGATTCACAAAGGCCCAAAAGCCCAAAATTCCCAAGGTAGGCCGGCCATGAGGAATGAATTAGGGTTTTGGTTATTTAGGTCACTTAAAGAAGTGACTATATAAATGACTTTATAGCCAAATATTCATTAATGTGATTAAGGGTTTATTTTGGGTGAAAATGGGTGAGAATTGTCTCTCCATTTTTCTCTCTAAAGAGGCCAACACCTTGGAGGGTACATCTAGCAATCCTACTACTCCAAGGTCACTCATTTCTTCTACAATCAAACCTTGGTGAAGAGACTTAGAGGTTCTCAATTTTGGGAACTTGGAGAACCTATTCTTCCATCCAAATCCATGGATCTAAGAAGCAAGGAATGAAGGCCCTATCTCTTTGGGTGATTAGCCTTTGCTTATGCAAAGAGGAATCTACAAAGGTATTAATTTCAACTCACTTTGTTTTGAGTTGATTATTGGTTCACCAATCTACTAGGCTTTGAATTTCATGGGTAATGTTTTGTTTTTGAATGCATACAAGCATGATTCCGCCTTTAATTTGTTAATTGCATGCTATAGATGTTATTCAAATGAACATGTTTTTCAAAATAAATCCTTCATCTTATACATCAAAGGCAAAGACACGAATTAGGACTATCTCAATAAACGAAATATGTCCTTAATAGTGTATCCATGGACAATGGATCGATTGAAGAAGTAATCTAATGATGTTAGACTACAGAGACCTTCTTCACATAACCAGATGTCCAAAAGGTTCCTGGTCATTGGATTGTCGGAGGGATACTGACAATGCTTAGACCAGTACATACTATGTCTGCTTCAAATGGAAGGATGGAAAGTCTCATCCCATTCGTGTTGTGACACTAAGACAAGTATGTAGGTGCTCATTAGGGGAATGAGTTCACTGAACACAATCGAACGAGAGTACTTGCATGGAGGTCTACTCACATGTCAAGCAAGTAACTCTAATGGTTGGAATAATGTAAGTAATCCTTAGACCTGAGGCATCGTCGTTGTCTTGTGGTTAAGTACTTAATCTTTGATTATGTCAAAGTCTCCCCATTCGAGGGTGTCCACGGCATGATTGGGGTTAAGCCACTTAGTCATGAAGGCAAGTGTATGCGCAACAAGGAATCTCTAATCCTCGATAAGAGAGGAAGAATACTCTAAGATATGATTCGGGAATCTTCGGCCGAAGTATTGAGCGTATTAAAAGGAAAGCGTTCCTATACGACTCAAATGAATCATATAAGAAGGAATAATCACATTAGGGGTTTGACATAATATCCATACCCTAATGATGTGATTGAGAGTATTGTATTAGAGAAGGATCGAATTACATTGTAATTCCAACTGAATAGGTTCTTCGAATAAACTTCTACATTAGCTTGGGTAGCTATGACATATGGTTAGATGTCAATCATAGCTTGTGAGTTCTTCTAGATGATTAAATGTAGCCACCAAAGAAGAATGGTGAATTGAAATGAAGTTTCAATTCAATAAGTGATTGAATTAATTGGATTGGTTCCGATCACCTCACTGCCTTGCTAATTAGAACCTAAAAGATTGTTCACCGATACACTATTGTAGTGAGTAACTAATGGATGATGGAAATGATTAATTGGATTAATTAATTGTTGTGATTAATTTAGAAAGTCTAAAGAAATCATAAAAGCGATAAAGATCGTTTTGGGCTTAAAGAAACGTTCGGGTTTAATTGGGCCCATTGGGCCTAAACCCATTGGGCTTTTATTCAAGCATTGGATGACTTGAAATTGTAAAAGCCCAAAGCCCAAAAGAACAACAAAGAGGCCGGCTATATAGGTGTGGATTGGGTGAGATATTTAGTCAATTTGTTGGCTAGGTTTTCTTTGATATATATAAGGGACTTTATATTGATATATTTTCCTTAAGTTATTTTTTTTTTTTGGTGTTTAGAACAACAAAAGAGAAAAGAATATCTCTCCAAAAACTATACAAAGGGCCGGCCACCAAAGAGAGTGTTTTAGCTAACAATCTTTCACTCTTTTGGTTATTCCTTCATCCTTCTCACTATATTTGTGGGTGAGGATCTTTAGAGGTTTCCTACTTTGGAAACTTGAAGAGAACCTAGGAGCACTCATTCTAACAAAGTGGAGGAGGCAAGGAGGGAAGCTAGCATCAAGGATTTCAAGGAGCAAAGAGCTTGGAGGTGGTCCATGCTTGGTCTAAAATCAAGATCAAGAGGTATAAGACTAACCTTCACTTTGTTCTTGATTCTATAAAATGTTTTGATGCATTATATATAAACCTATGAACCTTGAAGGGGATTTGCATGACTAGATCTTTGATATTATATGATAACATGCTTCCGTTGCTCATGTATATGAATTTTGAATTGTATATGCATGCTAGTCATTAAGAAATCCCACATGAATCTCACAGATTTCCCTTCATCTCATATCTTTGATTTATGAATTTACTTGGCACTTACCTGTGCGCCCGCAGCACCAATCATAAGTATATGCAACTACTAATGCATAAATAAAATAGGCAGATACTTTGCAAGGCATTTCAAAACTTATAATCATTCAAATTCATTTTCTGGGAAAAATCTCAAGTATATAGATATATATACGGAAAAACCAAAAGCCCACTCACTGATATGTCGAAGGGTCGTAGCCCCCGAGCCTCGATTGATGGCACTCGTCCTCTGGATAGGTCTCCCCTATATGCGAAATAACTAAATAAACATTAATTAAAGCACATACACAAAACTAGGAAATAACTTCTCATACAATGCTCAAATGGGGTGTTTGAATATACCAACGTGATCTACTCAACACCACGAACATCCCCATATTTTTTTTAAAAATTCCTAAGCACTCATGCGCCGGCCAAGGCAAAGCCAAACGCGCTGCCACGCGCAGGCACGTGCCTGGCATGGGGGACGAAATAGTTAACGTCGTTAGGGAATATTCCATTAAAAACTAGAATATGCCATTATATTTACCTGACGGCGTCAAAATATTATGTCAACTTTGACGGAATATTCTCATCCTTCTTCCTTAGATCGCCGAAGCCCCGCGCCGGTGCCGTTGCTATCGCCGGAAACTGGAAAATTATTCAAACCTTCATATCTCTTTCATTTCTTAACTAAAACTCATGAAATTTGTCTCAAAATGAAGCTCATGATGCAAGGAACAAAACCTTACCAACTTTGAGCCCCAATACTCACTGAAACTCATCGGAGAAAGCATGATACTCCGACCACTTCAACAACTCCTAGAACCCGAGTCTCCCGACGTCCAAAACACTCCAAAATTACTCCCCAAGCTTCGTGAAGACGTTCCAAAGCTTCCTAGAACCTTAAAACTCCCTGAAAACTTCACGATCACGATCACATGAACAATGCACTAAATTGGGGTTTCTGGTTCTCGGATTTTCGAAGGTTTCGCATCCAACAAAAGGCATGGGTGAGCTCCTGGACTTACAAGGAACACAAAGACCACTTCCCCAGCTTCGATCCGTGACTGGAAGTGAATGTTTGAAGGTTGTCCGTACGCTTGTATGGAAATGGCAGAAAATGCGAGAGGGAGGGAAAGAGAGAAAGAGTCAACGGCTTACTTTGGGTGTGAGTGTGTGGTCCAATTTTGGGCATCCAATCACAACAAACAAAAATCTCTTTCTCATTGGTCCAAACACTTAGGAGAATTGGTCCACAACCAAAACCTAAACCACACAACACCACAAACGTTCAAGGGTAAATTCGTCATTTCACACCATAGACAATAAAATTTGGGAAGGGTTGTCACATTTCATGTCAACTCATTATTTTAGTAAATAAACATTAAATAGATTTCTAGTCTTGAGTTAAAACCTAAAATTTTTAACTTAAAAAATTTAGATTTTAATCGAGAAACAGTTTTTCTGCTCCAACCCTTGGGTTAAATTTTTAGCCCGATATTTAGGATAATTTTTTTCTTAAAATGAACAAATGATATTATCTACACTAAAAGAGAGGGGATGAATTTAACCTCACAATAAGCTAGCAATAATGTGATTCAAATCCGTCTTTGGCGAAATATAAAATGAATAGATAGAATATGGAGATGCTAGGAAGTGGTTTAATTCTCAAATTAAGAAGGATTTGGATCCTCTCCCCTCTGCTTAAGAGAGGATCCAAATCCATGGAAGGGGTGCCAAAACTGAGTAATGCGCTGGTTGACAACCTCCTCCTACTAGATAGGTGAGACTCCAATAGTGAAAATGACAAAAAGTAGTCATAAACGCGCCAGATAGGGGTCGAACCTATGACCTTCTGCTTAGGAAACAGACGCTCTATCCACTGAGCTACAGGCGCTTGATGTCATTGACGTGTGTTTGAACATAATATTTCAAATCTCTGTTAGCTGTTTTCATTTCCCTGGCGACTTTTGGTTTGACCACGTTGCGAACTTGTACATTATACAGTCGTCACAGCTGACGGCGCAAGATGAAAAACGTGATTGAAATTCTGTGCTTCTTCTTCTCCATCTTCCCTTTCTCCAAAAGCTTCACTCGTTGACTTTTTGCTCATTTCCAATCTATATATAGTGCTTCTAATATTTTCATAACACAGAGAAAACCAAATCCCAGAAATAATCTCACACTTTTAAGTCCTCAAAAACCCTGGAAGTTTCAAACTTCCACTCCCAATGGAACCATTAAGATCTTATTCCTCTTCCTCTTCATCCTCCTCCACCACCAAGTACTTGTCCCAAACCATCCAACCAACAAAGGGTTCAACTTCAAACTCAAAGCAGCTTCCCCATCACCAGTCATCACTCCACTCGGTTCAAAAATCTTCGTTGAAGCCATGGAAGAAGCCTGCGGTTGCACCACTCCCACCAACCAAACCAACCCCATCAAGAATCTACAAAGTTGACCCCATTAACTTCAGGGAGCTTGTCCAGCGCCTCACCTGCGCGCCGGAGTTTATGGAGACTCGGTCTCTCCAGAGCGTAGCGCCTCCACTGATCGATATCCGCGCGTCTTCTGTACCAAATCATGTCCATTCTTCTTCACCAGAAATTAGCTCACTATTTTCTGTAATGTACAAGGACTTGTCGGATACTTTGGAGCTGAGTCCGATGCCTCGCCATAAGAAGGTGCATGGTGGCACGGTGGACTCGAGCTATTAGAGACTGAATTTGCAGTCCCCGTCTTCCCATCATTGGTTTTCCTTGCCTCTGCTCAGCCCAGGGACTGTGTCCAGTATCACCCTAGTATCTTTGCGATGAGGCTTAATGTCAACGTTTTAGGGACTGGGCGGCCTGTTCTAAATGGGTCAATAGTATCATAATTAACTACTTACTAGTCCAGCAAGTGTAGCGTTAAGGTTTAGATGCAATTAAAAAGTGAAATCACACAAGTTATATTTTTATTTTTGTAGGTTTTCAATGGACGTTTCACATTCTTTTACACTTCAAATTATTAACACTTGAATTGGGATCATTAATGGAAAACCCCGAAGTAGAGTCCCGAGTTAGGGACACCCGCAACCCCGAAGTCTGAGGTCTCAAGACGGGACACCCGAATGAAATAATAATTAAGGATTATTGGTAGGGGTGGTTCGGTATGGGATCCCATACCGAAACCCTTGTCTCAATTCCCAAACCGAAATTTTCAGGAATCCCAATTTCAATACCGATCCCAAACCAAATTTTCGGGAATCCCAATTTTTGGAAATCCCGAAATAGTTTCGGGATTTCCGGACAAATCGGGAATCCCGAAATGGTTTTGGGCTTTTGGGCTTTTGGACTAAAATTTGACATATTATGCTTTTGAGCTCAATTTGCCAATTTGTTTCTACTAATCTACCAATCAAATGGCAAGGCATGTTTGTACTAATTTGTGCACAAATTTGAGTCCGTGTACACCAGTAAGTAAAAATGGATTTAATAAGGGATGGAAGGAAAAAGAAAGTCTGTGTACACCAGTAAGTACAATTGTAGCATAAAAAATAATACGTCAGCTTAAATTTCTATATAGCACATGAATCTTTCATCTCAATGCATATATGAACCATCCAGATGAAGAATTATTAAGGAGGGGCAAGGTATCAAATAATCAAATAATCAAATTTATATTCAATGGTTGAGATTAAATCTCAATAGAATCTGACAGCTATTAAAAATCTAAATATATATTTAAAAATTAAACAATATATATATATAATTTTTTTTTGGTTCGGTTTGGGAATACCGAAATCCCAAAAACTTGAGACCGATTCCCGTACCGAAATTTCAGGATCGGTTCGGTATTGGGTACCAAAATTTTCGGGAATTTTGGTTTGAGATTTTTTCGGTTTGGTTTCGAGAATTTTTTGGTTCGGTTTGGAATTTTTGGGATTTTTTTCCAACCCTAATTATTGATGTGGTGTTGTCTTCAAGTGGTCCACTAATGAGTGGTCTCAGGTAGGAGAGATTTTTCATTCCTGTCAATTTCCGTCTAATTCCCTCAAAATAAAAATCATTCATATATAATCTCATTATATCTTGAATTTTATGAGTTACCGAATTCAATTCAATCCTAAAAAACTAAACAAGCTCTAAACAAAGGGCTTAAAAGAAGATGACAAGGTCTTTTGACTACAGAACAGTCCAAGTCGTGGCAAAAATATATAATACACGGTCTTTTGACCACAACTGCCACTACGAAAGTTTTTCGAAGGCCTGGCGGCTGCACAAGTGGAGGAGAGAACGTGGACTAGTCCGTGGCACATGCTCACAGAAAAGTAAATAATTATGCAGGACATCAATGTTGGCACGTGATGTGTGGCTGCCTGCAGTCCTCAAAAAAGCCATCAGAGTTGCATATTTCAGAGGTGGACTTCGCCAGTCAAAGAGAGAGATGAATAGGATTCCAAATATACATTTCTCTATTGGCGTATAACTAAAATATACATTTTCCGAAAATGTAAAATGAGATGTAAATGCGAAGGTGGTTTTTACATTTTCAAATTTGCATTTCTACACTGTAGATGCTCTCAGGGTATTAGATGAATTTAAAAACACTTGAGAAGAAACTCAAACTTTCGGCAACTCAACCTACATGGGAAAGACAAAGGGTCTGAAAATGAATAAGATAAATCTGAAAGTCGGAGTTCATTTTCACACCCATGTTTTATTTTTGGTCCGGGTTGAATAATTCAAATGAAAACAACGGACAAAATATGTGTAGGATGAGAAAAAGAGTGAGTGCTTATCAATCCCATTCTATAGATAAGGGCACACAGATGAAACTGAATATGCGTCTCTGCATAATCTGAGAACATTATCCATCTATATATACGCAAAGAACAATACATCTTTCCAGTTTCCACGGCCAAAATTACAAATCTGAATTACTTTTAGCCGGGGAATTCTTCCAAGCGTTTATGGTAACCAGTAACAAGACTAATAGCACAAAAAGTAAAAAAACTATGAGCAGCCGAGCGGAAGTTCCTTGTTCTTCATGTTCCTTCTGAAGTTGAGGACAAATCGGCCAATATTATGGTCGTGCAGAGCTATTGGTCCCAGTAGTTTCTAAGTTGCGACATGTGGAGCAAAAGTTCATCCCTGCCCAAGCCAGTTACACTGCTAGTCATGATCCACGGAGGAGGTACGCGGTAGTTGTCTTTGATAAACTGTTGAAAATCACTGAGGTTCTCATCTGCCCTTTTACCTTTGCCCGCCCTCATTTTGTCACACTTGGTGAAGACAAAAGTCATGGGTATCTAAAAGCAGAAAGAGCATACAAATTATGAGCAATTTATGAAGAGGTTAACATAAAGGTATTTCAAATTGGAGAGCAGTGTACATTGTTACGTCCAAGCCAATTAGCGCAGTCTAGGTCGATTTTCTGAGGTGGAACACTAGCATCAACAAGGAGTAGGACGGTAACAAGAGTATCTCTGCTCAAAAAGAAACCTTTTGTGAATGCAGACCAATCCATTCGAGCAGCATCTGGAGCTTTAGCAAACCTACCAACAAAGAAATCACTAGACATAAGAAAATGAAAAAGAGGAGGCGGCAAATGTATTTGATCAATTACTGTATATCGATACAGAAACTATAAAGAATACTGAAATAGCAGGATTAATTCCTTATTGTTCTGCATTAAATGTTTTACTTACGTATGAATTCAACAAACATTAGAAAAAAGCAATTAAAGGAATTTAGCAATCTCGTAAGCAAACAGCTGGTAACAGAACAGCAACCCATGTTAAAATCGAAAGTTTTAAACTTCAAAAGAACGACAACCAGAAAATGGAAAGGGCCACCTAACTATGCTCTTGACTGATTGTTCTGTGATAATCTCTACTTCACAAAATAAGGTCTCTTAGTCAATGTTAGCATGAAGTATGTCTAAATTTGTTAAATGAGGATAAAGATGAGTACATGCTCAACTATGTCCATGGAGTTCAGCTTATATAAAATTCAGCTTAAACTACAGGTTCATAAAAGTAACCATTTTTCAGTGTCAATGAGTGACATGATGGAAATTTAGTTGCTTAGATTAAAAACTATTAGGCCCATTAAGAATAATGTCATAGGACATAGATATTCAGTATTGTAATAACCTCAAGTCACCAAAGCCCTGACCCCGACAATCTGGGACTTGGGATACTACAGAGAGCTGGTTGGCAAGAGTGCTGTATTCATTACGAAGCCGCAGGCAGTGGAATACATGTCATACATTATGCATAACAGTTTGTAAGTGAAAACTTAGTTTCATATGTGTAGAGCGTCTTCCTATTCTAATTTGTATTTTTCATTACTTCACTGATACATATACTGACTTGCTTTGTCGGAAGAAACTCAAACCCAACTGATCCAGCACTAATTCCCATAAATTTTGAGATTTTCTTCAGCGATGCACAACTAGTTCCAAACAGTTGCAAATGGAGATAACATAACCTAGGAGATAAAAGGTCAAAAGCTGAAACTTTCTTTGCATACAAAAGAAGGAAGGGCCTTACCCATAACCAGGCAAATCCACAAAGTACCAACTTTTGTTGACCAAGAAATGATTGATGAGCTTAGTCTTCCCTGCACAAATTTCACAAAAATAAGCAAAACCCAGATACCAAATCACATTCAAACTTCAAAAAATTCAAAACCTTTAAGAAAATCAGAAACCTGGTTTCTTAGATGTAAGAGCAACATCCTTCTTGCGAACCAAGGAATTAATGAGTGAGGACTTGCCCACATTGGATCGACCCAGAATAGCGAATTCGGGTCGATCATGTTTTGGGCAATCCTTAGCTCTGGCACTGCTTTTCACGAACTCCACCTCCTTAATCTTGGCATCGCCGGCATAGGGTCCGAGCACGATGTTCGAACCGGGTAGGACCATATTTTCAGTCACCTCCTCGGCCGGGTCGACCCCAGGCGACATGAACAGGACGTTCTTGTCCAGGATTGTTGAGTTAGCCGTGGCTTTTGGAGCTAGGACATTGCGTTTTGGGTTTGGGTTTTGGCTCGGATGAGTTGGGTTTGAGAGGAGAGTTCGGAAGGAGAGGGTGGAAGGTCGGGTTTTGATAGGTGGGGAAGGAAGCGGTGATAAGAAGGAAGTGATTTGCAGGGTTAGGAGGCGGTTTCTGAGTAACATTGTATGGGTTCAAGAGAGGTTTTATTTTGTGAGGTTATAGAAAAGGCTATCTAATAAGGCTATTTTTGTGACAATGGAGGCTTGGATTTTTGCTATTACTGTTCAGTTCGGTTCTGTTTATCTTTCAATTCTTTTCGATTCGGTTTTGTTGGTTTGGTTTTTTTTACCTTAAAATTTTTTAAACCTGGAAATCTGGAAATTGGTACTCCTCTTCAAACAATTGAAACTCCATCATTAATTGACCTGTAACAAATAAAATTAATGGGGTAGATGTCATACGATGCATCAATGTTTATGAGCATTTGAGGAGAACGAGAATGATAGCCACTAAGAAATTACCCCCGACATTAAGGCTCCCACCAATATGCTAATCATATCTTAATTCAAGTTTGGCCTTAGAGAAAATACATTAATCATAAAGAAAAACTTACTTGGGAAACTAGATGCAGAAACACCGACCCTAATGATTGTTCAGCTTTTCTATCAGCAGTCATCAAGGTAATGACAAAGTGAGGATGGTTTGCCAGGAGCCGAACAATCTTCCAGAACATTTAACAAACACCTTCCCTGCATCCCGTGTATCAGCCTTCAAATTGTTCACCACGTCCTGCAATTTCGAAACTTTAACAATAAACGTCAACTTCTACGATGAACAACACTCAACTCAACAAATCAAGGTTTCCAATTCACTGAAATTTTACAAAGCAGGGTTTAACTGGGTTTTTTTTCCCGCAATTTCTATAGAGATAAAACACAGCATGACAGTGTTTACAAAAAATCAAAAGCAAACTCGATAAAGCTTCAAACCTTCCTTCGACTAACTTTTTTCATTAATGAAGCATATAACGTTGAATTAGATGCCATTTCCTTCAACTAACTCTTTTCAATTCAATCGAATCAGTTCAATTCAACAATTATATAATCATTATTATTACATTGGAAATAAATTCATTGAATGCACACTTGTAAAATCATAAACTTGGTAAGCAATCTTGTAAAAAGGCAGAGTCGTTCATATCATAATCCATACAAAAAATTAATTGCTGAAACAGAAGCGTAAATTCGATCAAACAGGAGAGTGCTAACTGCAACAGCCCATCATTCAACTATCATATTTCAACATCAACAATGGTTACAATACTAGCTAAAGCTAAAACATGAACCTCCAGAAACTAAAAACAAAAATAAAAAGACATTCTTCATTATATTTCAATTTTATATTAAATTTGGGTAAAAAGTAGAGATTAATGCGTTGCCAAATGCATCCCTATTGAAACTTTACAGGCAAAGAGGATGAAAGGGAAAATATTGAGCTAAAGGGGAGACAGAGAAGGGTAAGCGCTGACCTTGATGGTGGTGAGCGCAGATATCAGAGAGGCGCACTGCAGTACCTGCTGCAAGTGAAGTGGATGAGGTCGACAGAAATGGATGGTTTTCAAGTTAAACCCTCTTCCTCTGGTTTCTGCTTCTGGATATATAGAGAGAGACCGCAAATTATAAAAACAGACGGGGATGTAACTATTTCGGGTTCTTTATTTTTTACTTTATTTTTACTTTATTTATTAATTTTTACTTTTTTAAAGGAAAATACTTGATCCCACCCGCATATTTCATTATTTGCAAATAACGTATTTTTACCGTAAAAATTTTATAACAAAAATCGTTCTTTTTTTTTAATTTTCATTAAAAATCATCAATGACACACCTCGACCGAGATCGAGGCATGCTGACCGTCACGTGAAAGTAACGTAGCCATGTGTACAGTGCGGAAGCAATAAGGATAAGAAATATACGAATAAATAAAAACCGAAAGCTACTAAAGTGCACTAATAAACCGGAAGTGCTAAGAGTGAGATACAAGTGTAATTACTCCTAATTATAGCATAGAAAATCTAGGTGCAGTCCAATAGGACAAGTACTAATTATACAATACCATAACATGTCCTACAATTATTTTAATATGTCAGAACCGCCGGAATCCTCGTACGACACCAACAGCAGTCTACCTAAAACCTAGAGGGGCGCAAAACAGAAAACATGAGTGGGCAAAAACAAACGTTTTACAAAACCATTTCATTTTTCAAAAGTTCTAACCTTTCGCCGTAAAACATGTATAATTTTCCCAGAAATAGAATATAAGCATATGCATAAATGTATATATAAATATCTCAATTCAAATCATGCTTCACGTAATCATATTCATAAATATGATATGCCAAGATATAAACAGAATAAGTAGTTCAGGTGAGAATAAATTCATGGAAAATAACAAATTAGCCGGAACCCTTGTAGAAGTCTGTACGGCTGAATTCATAGCTCATTAGTCAATCTGGCCGGAGTTACTACAATGACCTATACGGCACTACACTGCACATAAGTTGGAACCACTAAAGAGGGGTCTGTACGACAAGACTGGGTGTAATATAATTATGCTCAATACTACTATCTCATGATAGTTGTGCGATAAATCGCTAGTCACCTACAAGTTGGAACCACCTATAATGGTCTGTACGACAAGATTGTGCACCTAAATTGGATCCAATGTGAGCATATGGTGCGGGAGGTGACATTATATACAGGCATGTGCCATATCTCTGGCTAAATCACAATCACCCTAGGTGCAGGTTTATGAGCTTTATGCTTCTCAATTAATCACAACCGTTATTCACATTCACAATTCATAAACTCACATGGGCTTACCTGAGCATCCACAACACCACAATTATATATTATGCATCAAATACTAATTCATATACAAAATATAATTTATATGCATGGCATTCAAGGCATACTTCATTTAAACGCATTTTTCTGGGAAAATATCAAGTATATAAATATATACTAAAAACCAAAAGCCCACTTACTGGTATGTCGAAGGGTCGTAGCCCCCGAGTCGCCCTTGACCGCGCTCATCCTCGAGATAAGTCTCCCCTATATGCGAAATAACTATAAAAACATTAATTAAAGCACATAGACAAAACTAGCTAATAACTTCTCATACATTGCTCAAATGGGGTGTTTGAATATACCAACGTGATCTACACAACCTCACAAACATCCCCATATTTTTAGAATAATTTTTCATGACCCCACGCGCCGCCCATGCGCAGGGACCCTAACGGAATCCCTTAACCCTGTTAGGAATATTCCGTTGAATAGTAACGGAATCCGTTAAACTAACCAACGCCGTTAGGAATATTTCGTCATCCCCTACCTCAGAACTTAGGCAACCGTCACTGGCGCCGGAAAACTGGGAATTTTTCAAACTTCAATTTCTTGTCCATTTCTCAGTCAAATTTCATGAAACTTAAACCAATTTGAAGCTTGACACGAATAGAACACAACCATACCTTTTAAAAGCCCTAAAACCCACGGGATTCACTGGAAAACTCCTCGATACTCCGGCCAAACCTGCAACTCGTCGAATCTCACTATTCCGACGTCTAAATTCTTCAAACGAACCACTCCTAGCCTCGTGAGGACCTCCTTAAGCTACCTATAAGCTTGAAATCCCCAAAAACATGAGATTTTACGTTTGCATGAATAGTACCTTAATCGGAGTTCGAGAGAAACTAGGGTTTTTGAAGGAGTTCTTACCTAAAAATGGTACCATTCAACTCGTATGAACCTCAGGAACACGATGGTGTCCTTTAAACCCTCGATCTGCAACTTTCCATTCGTGTTGTTGTTGGTCCGTACGTGAGGGAAGGAGAGAGAATGAGTCTGAGGGAGAGAGAGCACGGGAGAGAAGAGGGAGGAAAAGTTTGTGTGTGTGTGAGTGGTCCACGTGGTCACCAACCCAAAACCACAAAAACTAAGTGCTACTTTGGTCCAAAAATTAAGGAAAAACCTAAGTTTGGACCACCCCTAACATGCATAACACACACCACGACACTCACGTCCAAGGGTGAAATAGTCAATTCACGTCATCGATAATTTATTTCAGGACGGGCTGTGACAATCAATGTATTGAATCATCTAAATTTATGGAACAAATTAATTGTGTGAGTGCCAGATAATATATTCATGATAAATCATCTATTTATTTGATACATTTTGATGACTAAAATTCTTCGATTTGAATTGTAGCAAAGCAATGACCAAGGACTAACATGGGACAACACGTTATTAAGTTTGAGGACTAAAGAAACTAATATGAGAGTTCAGTGACTAAAATTAAACAAAGGGTTAAATTCAAGGACCATTGCTGCAATAAAGCCATGATTTTGTTTATAAGTTAATCATTTTTAAATAAAGATTAAGAAATTGAACTAATCTTTATACATCAAAATATACATTATTTGCAAGTGGTAGGATATGTATATTTACAATACAGAGGAAAGCAAGGATTATCCTTTTTTATGATTAACCAATTGTAGCATATTAGCTAAATTTATCTTATTATAGCTAGATGACTCAAATGTTAATTTGGACAGCCACCACTTCCAACAAGTTAAAACATTTTAATATTTTTTTTTTCCTAAACTTAACAACGGAAGCCAATTTTCTTCTCTTGAAGCCCACACAATGAAATTTATATTTTTTTTAATGTTTAGTAAAAATTTTACTTTCTTTCTCCTCCTAGCTAATATAGATAGTTACTATTTACAAAGTTAAGATAACTAGTCATTTAACTAGCATGTTCGAGCTTTGTTTTTTTTTTTTTTTTTTGCACCTTATGTTAGCCAAAATGTCTCATTTAGTTAGGTTGTTGGAGACGCTCTAAGCCGTTGTTTTATGCTATATTGAGTAAAATACACATAAAGAAATAACATTGTGCATGTATATCGACAATTTACCCGACTAAGGCTCCATTTGGTATTGTTTTTTTTTTCCCACTAAAAACGGCTTCCTTTAAAGTTAAGCAATACAAAAACATGTTTAGTAAAAATAAAATATCCTACTTATTTTAAAAGCAATGACCTCAGACAACAGCTTTTAAAAGCAGCATGTGGGTTACTTTTAAAAGTTGCTTTAATAAAAACGGAGCTAAATCTTTAATGAATATTTTTAATTTCTATAATACCCTTATTAGTTTTTAAAATTCACATTGTTAACGTTCTATACTCACTTTATTTCTTGGTGAATAAAGTGATCGACTGTCACTACCTGCTACTACAAACACTAACCTTATACCACCACTCCCATTACCATCATCATTGTTGCTGCTACCACCACCGTTACTGCCACCGCCACCATCATCACCATAACCATAGTCGCTACAACTGTCAACCGTTACTACAGTCATCCTACCACCATTGTTACCTCTACACCCCAATATTGGCACCACAACCATACCCCCACCATTGTCGCTGCCATCACCACTGTTGCCACCACCACCACCGTCACCACCATTGCCCTTGCCACGCCACCACCCCCACTACCATGTCCATTTGTTTCATTGTACAAATTATATCACTTTTACATTAAATTTTAACAAATGCTTTTACACTGTTTTTTATACTCACATCGTTTTTAAAAATACAGTGTATCAAACACTCAACTATTTTATTTTACAGCTATTTATTCTTAAAACACAACATAAACATTTTTTTAAAAAGCGCAGTAATCCCAAACTTGCCCTAGATATGGTGATTTTAGATATTAATTTAATTGGTATAGGAAATTTATGCAGATGCTTGAAATGATTTTAGCTTCAAACTTCTTATTTCAAACATACAAACCATTTCAGGCATCTGCACAATTTTTCCAAACCAATTTTGAATCAACTCCACCTTATACAAAACTTCTTAATTTTTCAATTCAAGTTGCACATTTTAAGTCTCTCTCTTACACTTCAGTCCACCCTTGCATAAACCCTAGTCGACTCTCACTGTTTATTAGAAAGATTTAGCTTAAATTCAATCATGGACGACTTTCGAAATTTGAAAAAACATCGATCCATATTTTAATTAAGGACTTAATGCACAACATGTTATGGTTTTTTTTCGCTACATTGTTAAGGATGAGAGAGAGGATTTTTTTTATTATAATTTTTGTTGTTTTTTATGTTGGCCCCCCTGTGTGCATTCATTAAGATTTTGATAATTTATTTTTATGAGTGACTGAGAATATGTTATTCTAAGGTCGATCATAGGGCTTCCAATTGGTTTCCAGTACCACTGACCTGCTCCTGGATCATTCTCGTGGTCTATTGGGAATTATACAATGCACCTGGAAGTTGGGATCTTATCTGTAATCTCTTTAAGGTAAAGAAAACGCATTTTCCATATTTGACGACAACATCCAATTGTGATTTCAAAACCCTAATACCAGCAGCAGCATGAGCCCCTGGATTTGAAATGCGCCCATCGTTTGCACCCTCCTCTCCACCTATAAAACTGACCACATTGACACCTTCATTACTCATTACTCATTAGGTTTTAGGGTTACAGAAAGAGAGAGATGAAAGTTTGTGAGGCATCTGAAAGCCAAGATGAAGAGGATGACGGTGCTGGTAGGGTTTTAATATATCGCATCCATGATTTACCAGATCAGGTA